GGAGGAGGATGGAGGATGAGGAGGAGGGAGGAGGAGGAGAAGCCCCTCTGAGAGCTCGCCGCCGACCTGCAGCCGATGGCGCTGAAAGCAGGGGCCCTCGCGGGGCCCGCAGGGGCTCCCGCTTTCGGGCCGTGCCTCGGCTCCGTCGGCGTCACTGGGCCCCAACATACTTACACTATGTGTGCGTCGCCCCCCCCTCCCCCCCCCCCCCCAGGGGCGACGCGCGCACCGAGAAATCTCACAGTATATATGCGTCGTGGCGGGCGCTTTCTGGCCGCACCGCTGGGGGAAACGATCTACTACCAGACGGGTATACTATATGTTCGGGTCGGACGCGCGCCCGCCAAGGTGGACATACAGTACTACATAGTACGTCTCCGCGCCTCCCACTCCAGGTCGAGGAGCCTCGTCGCGGGCGAGGCTCGCCGTGTGGCCAGGAGAGCTCTTCCGTTCCTCCTTGGGCGTGCCCTCTGGCGTGGCTGCACTTATATATATATATACACACTATATACATATATATATTATATTGTGTTGTGTTGTTGTTGTTTGGTTTGTTGTGTTGTTTGTTGTTTTGCTTTTTTGCTTTTGTCTGTGTCTAGTTTTTGTTGGAGGTGGGGGTCGCCCACCTCAACCCATTCAACCCATTTTTTGTTTCCTGGCCGGCCCTTCTTTTGTTTTCTCCCTGCGGCCTAACCCTCCAGAGGCGGCACGATGGCTGCAGGTCGGCCGCGGAGGCGGGCGTCTTCGTCGTTGCAAAATGCGTGTGTGCTTCTTGCTGCGTGCAGGTTCGTCTGGTCCAGGCATCGGTTTTCTTGACAACAGGCGGCAGCGGCTCCATGTTTCGCTTCCTTGTCCTGGCGCTCTGCTCCCCTTTTTGCAGTTTGTCTCCTTCACCCCTATCTGCCCTCCTCCTGTAGCCCATGCAGTTGTATGTACGGCCTTGCCCAGCACTGCGCCTGTCCGCAATCTTAGAAAAATCCCATGTGCTCCAGCACGCGTGGATGGAGGCAGTCGTCCACTTGCTGGGGATGATCTGATGATTCCCCTCGCTTCGCGGGATGCGCGTCTGGAAAAATGTAGCCAGTTGGCAGAGCTTCTGGCGAGCGCGGAGAGGGCTGCACGGTGTTCGCGCTGAAACGAGAACCGCCTTGGGACCAGCAGGGGCTCCCCCTCCTCCTCCTCCTCCTCCTCCTCCTCCTCCTCCTCCACCTCCCCCTCCTCCTCCTCCTCCTCCTCCTCCTCCTCCTCCACCTCCCCTCCTCCTCCCCTCCTCCTCCCTCCTCCTCCTCCTCCTCCTCCTCCCTCCTCCTCCTCCTCCTCCTCCCCTCCCCCTCCCCCTCCCCCTCCCTCTCCTCCTCCTCCTCCTCCTCCTCCTCCTCCTCCTCCTCCGCTTTCTTCTCTCTCTCTCTCTGTGCCCGTCGAGAGAGGGGCTCGCGCCACTCCGCCGACCTCTGGGCGAAGTGCGGAGCCCGTGGGAATTGCGAGGGCTGTGGATGTCGACTAATGGAGAGGAAGCATGCTGCCAAATAGTTTCCAGATGTCTAAACATGTGTCAAACATGTTTTAACAGTGTAAAAGCATGTTTGGATCATTTTCATAACATGGTTTATACATCTTTATAACATTTAATTTCATGTTTAATTCAATGATAGGATTGTCAGAGTGTCCATTGCATCCACAATGCTAGGTCAAGGTACTCCGAGGTTCTTACTACTAAGCGTGGGGGGGTACCCCCCGACGGGGGTCAACCTCGCCTCGTCGTCGCGCCGCGACGGGGGTCGGGGCGCCTTCGGCGCGCGGTGGCTACCCGCGACGGGGGTCGATGTGGGGCTGTCGGCGGGGGTGACGCCCACCCCGACGCTTATTAAGAAACTCAGAGTGTAGGCTAGAATCTGTTTCACAACGATCTGGGTTTCAGCCAAACATGTCTGGGAAGGGGACAGCTAAACATCTCAGGCGCCTTTGCACTCCCGGCAAGCGGAACTCGTCTGATTTAGACAACGCCGAACTCTTGGCAACAGAAGCTCCTTAGCTGGCGCTTGTTATGGCACCACGATGGAAGTCAGGGCCAACCGATTGAGAAGAGATCCGCGCTGAGGTTCTGCAGTTCCGCCGTTCTGTCCCTTACCCTCGGAAGTTGCATTTGCTGGACTGCCCTCTTATGCGAACTGTCGACCCCTTTGTCCATCCGGGCTGGCCCGACTTGGCCGCCAGGCATGGCCACTTCCGATCCGATTCGACGATGCGATTCTGATTCTGATTCGACTCGATCCGATTCATTTCACCGGCATCGGCGAGGACCAGCTGGATCCGGGCGCGGCAATCCCACTTCGATACGACTCTGGACGATCTGCCAGTGGCCTGGTCCGCTGCCGACCCGACCCGACTTCGCGATTTGCAAGGAAGTTCCCCCGACGGGGCCTGAGAATGCCTGTATCAGGATGTAACTCCTGGGAGGTTCAATTCAGCATCGGCGCTGGTATATATGTGGCCGCAGACCCGCCCAATCCGGTATAGTCCTGCTTAATTCCGCTTTATCCTGAGTTGATCCAGTCGAATGGCCCATCAGTCGGGCCTAATGCCCCTCAACCGTTCGTACGAAGACCTCCCAGAAGCTGCCTCCAAAGGGAAGCATCTCTCGCGCCAGGTGGGTCACGGAAGAGCACGTGGTCGACTGCGCCGACGATTGCGCGTAATTTGCCCGCGTAAGGTCGCGCGCCAGCGCCCTCTTTTCCTATGCGGCGTGCCGCGCCGGCGACCCGCGTCAGCCGCAGGGTCTGGTCCCTATACCATCGTGCGTAAGGCCCGCTTCTTTTCGTCGGTAAGGTGGCCCCCACGGGGCAGGAGGATTGCTTGTGTTTCCGCAATTTGTTCGTGGGGGCCCCGAGCGTAACGCCCGGCGCCGCGGGGGGCGTCGGCCGCTCCTGCCGCTGAAAGCACCTGCGCTCCAGCAGCCTCGGAGCGCGCACGGGAAAAGGCGCCGGCGCTCGGGCCCCGAGCTCGGGGGCAGCGCGAGCCGAAGATCGAAGAAGAAGAACGCCATAAGCATTCGGGGGTGGGCAGACCTCCTACCCTGACACGCCGATTAGTGAATTGTCCGTTTCCGCTTCTCGAGAGGGCGCCGCGGCCGTCATTTCCCAGGCTTGCGCCCGCCAGGTTTTGGCCGAGGTCGTTTTCACTAAACCACGTTTTACTAAAGTCAGAGCGTGAATTACCTACCCCGCTTTCGCTTCCAGGCGAAACCAAGCCATACCACGCGCCTCCTCGTCTAGCGGCCTGACAAGTACAGGCTGCAATTTGGCATCGTTTGGTATCTCTTGGAAGCGAGGGTGGTCAAAAGCGAGGGGGGTTTGTTTTCCCCCTATAAAGGGAGGTTTGTCCATACCCGAAGCATAAACTTTTGGCGTTCCGCGCGGATGTCTCGGATCGGCGCCAGGCCCCCCTTGGCGGCGCCTCCGGCGCCGCCCCCGGCGCGCTCCGCGCGCCTGTGCCGGGGGGGGGATTCAGAGCAGATCCGGGAAGTCCGCGTGGACCGTCAAACGTTTCTGTTTCTGCTTTGTTTTGTCCCTCTAGACTCAAGTCGGGCCTGTCCCTCTACAGGAGGAATCTTCAAAAATAGTAAAATATATGATGGGGACGATTTTTGTACAATTTTTGAGTATTGGGCCGGCATTTTTCGAGTACTTCTCATTTTTCGCCCAAAATCCCCCTGTAGGGGGACACGCCCGACTTACCTCTAGAAGAAGCGAAGCTGCATCAAACATAGTCTTGCAGCTCCGCGCAGATTTTCCGGGATCGGTGCCGGGCCTCCCTGGCGGCGCCTTCGGCGCCGCCCCTGGCGCGCTCCGCGCGCGCACGGATTCAATGTCGGGGGCTTGTCCCCGATCTGCAGTCAGCCCGCATAGTAGGGATGGGCAACCCTCCCAAGGGTGCTTTTGCATCCTTGCCTCCCCGGTCCATCCTTCGCCGCTTTCGCGCTGGCCATGCCCCGCTTGAAAAGCCTCGAGATGGGCGCCCAGGGCCCCTGCCTGCGTCCTTACCGCGCACCCTTGCGATACGGGGTGACTGCATCGGCGGTGTATAGTGGAAGCCCATGTCACGAAACACCATGCTCGCCTCCAGGGTGCCCCAGGTTTCTTGGGTTTGGATGGTTCTGCGAAGACGGTGCTTCCCCTCCTGACTTTTCCCTCCGACTCCCCTTTCCGAATCCTGCTCCTCCTCCTCCACCCTCGGTGCCATTCATGACTGCGAGCGTGCATTCAGTGCAGCAGCATGGTTGCCCCGAAGGCGGAATGACGACAGCGGGGTCAAAGACAAGGCTTTCACAGCCCCAGCCCGACCCACATTGGTGATTGTTCTTTGTATTCCTTCTTTTGCCGAGCGGCGCGGGCCCTCCCCCCCCCTCTCTCCCCCCCCTATGGAGTAGAGCTTGGTTATTTTTGGCGCCTGTTTCAATCAGGAGGGAAAGAAACACACAGACACAATTAATCGTCGATTCCCAGGAGAATATGGGAAAATATGGGCGGTGGGGGGGAAGACAGAAACCCAGAAAATATGGGGAAATATGGGGAATCTGTTTATTGGTGTGTATTTATTTGTGTGTCCCAGGGCCCCTTCATTCAAGCAGGCGCAGTCACTGCCCCATATGGCGCCCTGTTCCGAGCAGTCGCACCAAGCAGAGGTCCGGAGCCAGACCTCCCCCCTCCCCCCCCTTCCGCCCAATGTCGAAACGCCGAATAAAAGAAAACGCTCACCTGCTCACTCGTCGTGCGCGTCCTTCACATCATGCATGCAGGTCGCACTGCTTTTAATCGTGCCCCGCCCGTTCACGGGCCAACCGTTTGGTTTGACCGGGCCTCTGCTCTGCTGCTGCTCTGCTCACCTGCTGCACCCTCGGTGCTCTGTCTGCCCCGGATGGCCCGTGCAGCCCACATCGGCTCCGTGCAGTGCCCGGCGGCGCACTCTCCAGGGGGCTTCCAGGCTCGCGCGCGCGCAGCTCGATGGCGGCCGAGCCGCCGGTCTTCCAGAGGGGGGCAGGCGGAGGACGAGGGGGGACAAGGAGGAGGAGGAGGAGGAGGAGGAGGAGGAGGAGGAGGAGGAGGAGGAGGAGGAGGAGGAGTTGGAGGAGGAGGAGGAGGAGGACCACTGTAAATCCAAGACCCATCAACGATGCTGCAGTCGGCCCCCCCTGGAAGTTCCCTGCTCATACGTGTGCCCCCTAATTACAGAGGTTCCTTCTCACTGAAGCAGTGCCCTGTTGGAACACGACCGTGTAAAGATCGTGAACCGTGCCAGCACGCCGTCGTTCCTGGGGCTGCAGCGCCCCGATTCCCCTCTACTGTTGCGCCTTGGCGCAGGGCTGGAACTAAACGGTGTTTGTGGTGATTTCGTGGGCCGTTTTCGTTCCGACTTTGTTTTGCGGTAAAGGCGGATTGGAGACAAAAGCGAGGGAAGACGAAAACAACACGAAAACGAAAAACACCGTTTAGGTTCAGCCCTGTCTTGACGATCATGAATCTTGCCAGCTTCAACACCCCGGACAAACGTAACTGGTGCGCCCTGACAGTCCGACATCGTGCCGAAACACCACTTCTGGGACGTTGACCATGCAAATCTCGCAGACTGTTGTAACCTCTTGAAGCGAGTGTACGCGGCGCCAAGGCGAGAGCCACATGTTGCGAATGAACCGGCGTCCATCCGCGAAACGCCTGCAATTCTTTAAGACGAGTCTGCGCGGCACGAAAGCGAAAACCACATGTTCAAACAGAGCTTTTTTCCATGTGTGAAACTCTTGCAGCCAGCCACATTTTGCCCTCCAGGTCCGCGAAGCTCCTAGAAATGCTTAAGACGGGTGTGCGCGGCGCAGAAGCTAGAGCCACATGTTCAAAAGGAGCTGCCCTCGATCCGTGAAGCACTTGCAGATGTTGAGGACAAATCTGCGCGGCGCTAAAGCGAGAGCCCCTTTATGAAAACGACCTGCCCTCCATCCGTGAGACTCTTGCAAGTCTTTAACACGAGTGTGTGCTGCGCTAAGGCGAGGGCCACACTTTGAAAACGACCCGCCCTCCATCCGTGAAGCTGTTGCGAATTTTGAGCTTCAGGATCATACATTAGGCGAATCGCCCTTCCCGCCCTTTCGGCCAGCCTCGTGGCGGACAGGGAGGAGTTAGGCCTTACGGCCAGTGCCGCCGATCCTGAGGGAGGACGACGACGACAACGGCGGCGGCGGCAACGACGACGACTTCGACGTGGGCCAGAGTCCGCAGGGATGCCACTTGGGGTCTCTTCGGAAGTCTCTCGGGGGGCATCTGGGAAGGAATTTCTGGGCCGCCTCTTGGGAGCCTCTTGGGGGCTTCTTGGGAGCCTTTGGGGGGCCTCTTCGGACTTCCTGGGGACCTCTTGTGGGCCTCTTGGGCCTCTTGGGAACCTCTTGGGAACCTCTTGGGGCCTCCTGGGAGCCTCTTGGGGCCGAGGGCTCGAAATGTCCGTTCAGGTCCCCCGTCTGGCCACGCTCTTGGAGCCGTCTTGGGGGCCTTTCGGGCCGTCTTGGATGCGTTTTGGGCTGTCTTGGGGTCCTCTTGGGCTGTTTTTTGGGGCCGCCCCCCCCTCCGACGGGGGATCAACGGGAAGGGGCTCCCCTTCGACTCGGGCTTTTTCTCTCGCTGACAAGCTTGTGCAGGGAAAGGGGACGACGGAGACGACGACTGACCGAGACGACGACTCGAACAGACAAGCCCCTCACACACGCCGACAGGGTCGGCGGATTTATAAGGTCAAGGAATGGAGGAGGTGGAGGAGGGAAGAGGGAGGAGGAGGGAGGAGGAAGGCGGGAGGGGAGAGAGGAGGGAGGAGGAGGAGAGGAGGAGGGAGGGAGGAGGGAGGGAGGAGAGAGGAGGGAGGGAGGGAGGGAGGGAGGGAGAGAGGGAGGGAGGGAGTGAGGGAGGGAGGGAGGGAGGGGAGGAGGGAGGGAGGGAGGGAGGGAGGGAGGGAGGAGGGAGGGAGGGAGGGAGGGAGGAGGAGGAGGAGGAGGAGGAGGAGGAGGAGGAGTTGGATGGAAGAGGAGACGGAATGAGGAAATTTGGGGGGCTTTGCAGGGTTCTCGGCGGCCCGCCTTCCTCCTTTATGGGCTCTCGCCACATCGCTTCCCTTCTCGTGTGCGCGGCGGCTGCGCCGCCGCCCTTGGCCCCTCGCAGCCTCGTGGGGGGGGGGCTTGTGCGGGGGCGGGGCCCGCACAGGCCCGCGAGGATCTCCCCGCGGCCGCGGAGGGGTTTGCGCCCCCGTCGGCGAAGCATCAGCGGCAGCGACGGCGACGAAGGAGGGTTCCACGCGCGAGGCGAGGCCCTCCGCAGCCCCTGGCGTTCCTCGGTTTCCCGGGTAGGCTCGCACCGGCTGTGGGTGCCAGGAAGCCCTCCTCCTCCTCCTCCTCCTCCTCCTCCTCCTCCTCCTCCTCCTCCTCCTCCTCCTAAATAACTCCTCCCTGTCGCACCCCGTGGCCGGTCGAAAGGGCGGGACGGGCGTTTCACCTGAGGGTTCCTCACTGTTTATGACCCTGACTGGGTAGTCGAAGGCCAGACTGTCAGATTGGATTGGGCCCCAACGGCCAATCTGGCCTGGCCAAACTGGAGGATTGGGGTTATTCGCCAGACTGGATTCGCGTTGGCTCACTCGTCAGATTGCCCCCGTTTGCCAGATTGGGCCTGCCAGATTGGCGCCAGATTGGCTTCGACTACCCAGCCTGAAGCTTACACATTGGCAACAGCTTTACGGATGGAGGGCGGGCCGTTTTCAAAATGTGGCTCTCGCCTTAGCGCCGCGCACATTCGTTTTAAACGTGTGCAAGAGTTTCACGAGTTGAGGGTGGGCCGTTTTCAAAATGTGGCTTTCGCCATAGCGCCGCGTACACTTGTTTTGAACATGTGCAAGAGTTTCACGGATTGAGGGTTGGTCGTTCTCAAACTGTGGTTATCGTTCAGACGCTGCGCACATTCGTTTTAAACATGTGTAAGCGTTCCATGGATAGAGGGCGGATGGTTTTCAAAATGTGGCTCTCGCCATAGCGTCGCGCACATGTGTTTTAAACAGTTGTAAGAGTTTCACGGATTGGGGGCGGTCATTTTGAACATATGGTTTTCGCCATAGTGCCGAAGCGCAAGAGTTTCAGGATTGACATGGTCAACGTGCAAAGAAATTGTGATTTGGAAAGACTGATGACTATGAGGGTGTAACGGTTACATTGATTCGCGGCGCTGAAGTCCCAGGAATGGTGTTCTCGCACGGTTCAGGATCGTCAAGACGCAATAGTCAGGTTGATCTGTGGCGTTGAAGTCCCGAGAATAATGTTTTGGCACGCTTCAGACTCTTCAAACGGTTGTCTTCCAATGAGGCAAGGCAGTTTCCTCAGTGGAAATGAACCGTTGTAGGGGCCTATGAAGAGGAAGTTTGGAGGGAGGGTTTTTCCAACATCGTTGACGACTCTTGGGTTTACACTGGCCCTCCTCCTCCTCCTCCTCCTCATGCTCCTCCTCCTCCTTTTCCTTCTCCTCTTCCTCCTACTCCTCCTCTTCCTTCTCCTCCTCCTCCTCCTCCTCCTCCTCCTCCTCCTTCTCCTCTCACCCTCCTCTTCTATCATCCTCTTCCTGCTCACCCTCCTCATTCCCCTCATTTTCCGTCCTGCTCCTCCCTCCTCCGTCCTCCGCCCCGTCGCGCGCCCCCGAGTCTCGTGCCCCCCTGGGCGCAGGGTGGAGGGCCCGCCGCCCAGCAGCCCGCACCAGCCGCTGGGGGCCGAAGAGCACTACGCTGCATGGGCGCAGACTGCTGGAGGCCTGCGCGGCTCTCCTGGCGCGTGCGCGGCGCCTGGCCGTGGCGCGCGCTCCCCGCGCCCTCTGGGGCGGCTCGGGCCCGCCGCGCCGGCCCGGGAGCTCCACCCGGACTCCCGAGAGCTCGTGCCCTTGCCGTGCCCCTGGCGCTCAGGGGCACCCTGGAGGCAAGCATCGGGGGCGGCAAAGAGGGGGGTGATGACTGGGGGGGGTGGATATCATGGCGTGGGCCATGATATTTCCCCAGACTTCAGGGCGCCTCTTCTTATTTCATTACGTCCCTGGTCCCCCCGCTGGGCCGCGCACATGCCGCCGGTCATGATTTGCACCCCCCCCTCTTGGACACCCCCCTCTTGGCCGCTCCCGAAAGCAGGGCGCCCGCCTCTTGGCATGAATTTCTTCGGTTCCGATGGTTTTGCGATGGAAGGCGTGACGTTCCCGCACCAAAATCCAGGGGCGTCCTCGGGTCTCAGGGTTGGGCTTCTTGTGGAAGGTTTCTCGTGGTCGAGCTCCCAGTGCATGGCTTCCCCAGGCATCTGCCGTTGTGTTTTTCCAAACATCGCTCTCTGGAAGTCCTCGTTGCGCGGCATCCGGCCCCGAACCAAGCCTCTGGGTCGGTTTTGGAGGCCGCCGCAGCGATCGCGGCGGCCCCAACTCGGGGCAATTTTTTTTCAAGGAGCGGCATGTCCCCTTCCAGCCCCTCCCGCTCGGCGATGTAGGCGTGGCTCATACTCGACAAAGCAGCGACTGAGAGTTGCCAATGTATGTTCGACACGGGCAGTGAGACTTTTGGTGAGGGCCGATTGTCACGCAGTCAGGTCTGGACCCCTCCCTGGGGCCTGGCCATTTCATACTGAACCATTGATGTCCTCGAGCTGGCCAGGGCCGCCACAGGTCAAGAATGGCCAAGCACTGACCGCCTCTTGTTCACGACGCGAGGGGGTGTGGGTTCGGGGGTGCGAGTCCCTTGTCTCTGGGCCTCCTAGATGGGGTCGGAGTGGATGGGGTCGGAGGATCGCGCCGCATCGCCGATGCATCCGCGGTGCGGCTCCATGTGGAGCCCGATTATATCCACGCCGACGTCGCCGATGCATCGCCGACGTCGCCGATGCAGCCGATGCATCGCCGACGTAGCCGATGCATTGGCGAAGCGGCGCGACCCTTCGACCCCATCTACTCGGACC